AATTTATTATCCTTTATATATTTAATATAATAAATAAAATTTTCCTTAAATATTTAATACTTTAAGAAGTTTTACTTTTTTTTATTAAAATAATATATATAATTTTTTATTTTAATAAAATAAAATAAAATAATTTTTAAAAGAATATTATAATACTTTATCTTAAAATAAGATTTTTTGTAAATACTTAATATAATAATTAATAAAAATATATAAATATAAGGGAAAAATAAAAATATTAATAAAAATAAAAGAAAGTAGCTACTTATACTAAATATTAATAAAAATAAAAGAAAGTAGCTACTTATACTAAATATAGTAAGGTCTTAAGGATAAAACTAATAAAAGGGGGATATTATATTATAATTTAACTCTTAAGGTTATAATAATAAGCTAATAGGTTAACTTAAATTAAATTAACTTTAATCCTTTAACTAATTAGGGAAAAATTAAAATATAACTTTTTAATTTAATAGTAGATTAATAAACTATTTATTAATCTAGGGAAGGATTAATATTTTATATATTAATTTAATTTAAATTAACTAAATATATAAGTTTACTTTATATTACTTATTAAAATACTTAAATAGCTAGTTATTATTATAGTATTTATAATATAATTAAATTAAAATATAAATATTTACTTTTATTTATATTACTAGCTAATAATAAAATTACTTATTTACTAACCTAATTATTCTGCTAATATAAATTATAGAACTACTCTAAGGTTTATCCCTTAGAAACAGCTAACCTATAGTACCTATAGGACCCAGTTTATTATACTTAAGGGAAAAAGTTATTTACTAAGAAGGTTTAAAGAGATTTTAATAAATATAAAAACTAAGGGTTTAGTATTTTTTTAATTATTTAGGGGGTTATATACTTAATATTTAAAATAATTTTTAATTTACTTTTTATTTAATACTTTATTTTATTAAGTATAAGGTTTTTAAATTAATATAATATTATAATTATTTTTTTATATTAATAATAAAGTAATATTTTAATCTATATTATTTTTTTTAATATTAACTTAAAAAATTTTAAGGTTAATATTTCTTTAGTAGTTATAATAGGGCTTATTATTTATAAGCTTATATTAAAAGATTTATGAATTTTAGGGGGGGTATTAAATATATTTTTATTACTTTTAGCTTTTTTTTTTATTATTTAAGTTAATAATATAAACTATTAACTTAATAAAAAAAATTCCTTTATAAGGATTTCTTTTATTTAAGTTAACTTTAATAATAAATCTTTTAATTAAAACCTAAGGGGAAAAAAGTAAAATTAAATTAAAAATTAATAGCTATATATAAAAACTTATTTAAGTTCCTAAGTTAAATATTTTTTTAATATTAAAAGCTAAAGTAAAAGTAAGTTTAAGTTTAAGTAAATTAACTTTATTATATTTTTATTAGCTTAATTTTTAAATTACCTAAAGTTAAGCTTTAGTTATTTATATTTTATTTTTATTTTTAATAATTAATTTAATAAAATAATTTAAGGAGTTTATTATATAAGGGTTATTATAATTAATATACTAAAGTAAAAATAAGTAATTAGCTATAATATTATTATATTTAAAAAATAACTTATTATATTTATAATACTTTTTAATTTTAATATAATTTTATAAATTATAAAATCTAAAGTATTATAAATATTAAATAACCTAAGAGTATTAAACTTAGATTTTTACTAAGAGGAAGCTATTAAAGAGTTTAAAGTTAGGTTTAATATTTTTATTAAAGAAAATAAAGTAATTATATATATTAAGGGACTTTCTAAAGTTAGCTTTATAGTAAAAAATAAATAAGTATTTAGCCCTTACCTTAGTATATACTTTTTTTAGGATTAGTATATTTATAAAGTAAATTTTACTTATATTAATATATATTTTTAATATATTATATATAAAAAAACCTTTTATAAATATACTTTTTTAATTTTTAAATTATTATTTTTTACTATTAGCTAAAATATAATAATTTTATTTTTAATATTTTAATTTTTACTTTTAAAAGTAAAACTTAATTAAACTTTTTAAAAGTAAATAATATTTTTATTTATAAACTTTAAGATTTTAATTAATTTTTATTTAGCTTTAATAATTAATAGCTTTTTTTATATATAATTTAAAGGAACTTAAATAAAAATATAATTATTAAAACTTTCCTTAGGTTTATTAATTTTATTTATATTTTTTTTATTAATAATAAAAGTTAACTTTTTATTATTTATAAAAAAATACTTTAAGTTATTAATTTCTTTTAAGGGTTTTTATTATAAATATTTTTTTATAATATAATTTATATTTATATAACCCTAAGGTTTTTTTAATTTACTTTTTTAATAAATATAAAAATTCTTAATATAATAAGGGTTTTAGTAATATTTAATTTATTTTTTTTATTATAAAATATATTAACTAATATTATTTTAATTAATTAAATAGCTTTTTCTTACTACTTAACTTCTTAAGGTTTTTAGGCTTTCCCTTAGGGTTAATATAAAAAGTAATAAAGTTTTTAAAAGTAATATTTAAGTATAAGTAAATTTATTTTACTACTATTAAAAAAAATTAAAAAATATATTATACTAAGTAAAAGTTAATAATTATAATTATATTTAATATTATATTTTATTTAACTTATTATTATATATTAATTTTATTAATTTAATTTATAATTTTATTTTTAATAAAAAACTTTTTTTTTATTTAAGTTAATAATTTTCTTTATATTATTAAAAATAAAAATAATAAAGCCTCTTAAGGTTATTTATATTATAATTATTATTATTATTATATTTAGTTTTACTTTATTAAAGTTAAATAAAAGTATTTTATTTATACTTAGGGCTTTTCTAATATATTTTTTTTTCTTAAAGGTAAAAAAAAAAAATTATAACTTTTTTTATTTTTAAGCCTAAAGGGGTTACATTCTTTAAAGATTAAAAAGCTATTATTAATCTAAGGGTAATAAATTTTATTTTATTTTAATTATTTAAAGGGTTTATAAATATTTTTATTTTTTTAAAGTCCCTAAATAAAATTATAAATAAAAAAATTATAGTTATTTTATTTAATAACTAGTTAAATAAAATAAAAGTTTATAGTAGTTAGGTACCCAAAAGGTATAGTACCTATAGATATAGGAGGGAAGCTTAAGGTATGTCGCTAGATTAAGTAGTATTAATAAAATATTAAACAGAAGGTAAAGAAATATATTTACCTATAGCCTTTTAACGATGGCTATTTACTCTTAGACTCTGCTTAATATTATGGATTGTATTTTTGGCGTCCTCTGAGTTTAACTTTTATAAAATTTAGGAATAGACGATAGTAGAGCGATAAAACGCATCGTAGCAAAAGGGAGATATATTATTATTTTTACTTAGCCCTATTTAAAGAATGTAACGTAAGAGGGTTAGTATATTTACTGCCGTAGTTATTTAAACTTCTACTACTATATTTATCTTTATAAGGTATTTATACTTATAAATTTAAGCTATTTCTTAGTTAAAAATAATTCGTATATTATAAATATTAATGTTTAATTAAAAAAATTAGATATTCTTAATTTAATACCTATGGTATATTGTAGTAGGACAGTAGACTTTTATACTTTATTTTATACCCTCCTGTATTATAACTTTTATTAAGGCGGTAATTATGCTATTAAGTATTTATGCTTTATGCTTAAGGATACGATGTTTACTTACTTAAGGACTAGTATATTTTAGGACCTTCCTTAGTAAATATACTACTTAAACTGTTAGGCAGAATTAACCTATAGCCTTTGTTAAAGGGGAAGATATAATAAGTGGAAGGTAGAGAGGTAGATACTACGTTAATATTAGTAAACTTATAAACTAGGAGAACTTAATAGTATAATATTAGTTTTAAAAAGCGTATACCCCTATTTCCTAAAGCTTATTATCTATTAGTAGTATACTTATATTACTAGGCTTTTTAATTAATAAAGCTTATTCCGGGCAACTGACGTTTAAGTATCTACGTTACCGTTAGTATATATTTTCTTATAAATCTTCCAACGCCTTAAATACCGATCTAGAAGAATAATAGTCTACTATATCCTTCTCTCCTCTTTAGAATTATCTAGTTTAAATAAGCCGAAGGGTTTAATTACTTAATTAATGCTAAGTGTAATACTATATCTAATGTAGTAACTAACTGTTAAGTAGGCTAAGGGATAAATAGCTTACCTAAGTTTATATATTGTAATAAAAATAAGTGCTTATAGCGTTTTAAATATTAAGCTGCTACTTAACTCTACCTTTAGAAGAGCTCTCTTAAGGCTATAGTAGGTAGGAGAACTTATATTAGCATCGGGCTCTGTTATAATAAGCTTTATAGCAGCTATTAAAAGTATATTCTTATAGCACCGTTTACTAAGAGGATTTAAAATCTTTTCTAGGAAATTCCTTCTATATATAAACGGTACCTATAGGTAATTATACTAAAAGAACGCCTTAGTAAATTCTCTTACAGTAGCTACATCCTTAACAAAAGACAGTAAGTTAGGGCTAATAGGTAGATTTACATTTAATAAACTGCCTATAGATCGCTAGAATAATACTAAATTAGTAAAATATACGGCGGGGAACCTATTTTAGTCCGGCTAGCTTTTAGCAGTAGTGGTTAACGGAGCTCCGCTTAGAGATTTAAGTAAGGTTCCTAAAACTAAACTATTCCTCGCGGTCTTATATACGCAAACACTATTATATTTAGCTAGCGAAATTAGTGTACTATATTAGTAACTTTATATAATAAAGCTATATACCGCTAACAGAGTAAACACTAGGGTTAGCGCCTATTATATTTTTTTTTCTAATGCTAATATATAGAGCAGGAGTAATACAACAGTCAGCCAGACTATATACATTTATTATCTATTATTACTATTATTTAGATATCTAAGCAACCCGTTATCTTAGGTAATCTTAAAATATATAAATAAAAAATAAACGGGCTATATATAGAAAATCTATTACATTAAAAACTTAAGTTAAGCGGATATTTAAGGCAGGGCGGATAAATAGTCGGGGGCAAGCTAAGTAATTACTAACCGCTAATGCAATATCTGATAACTATAATGCAGCGGGCTGTTTCTCTAAAGTCGTCAGTAGTAAGTTATATTACTGCGTTTTATCTTAGCCGAGGTTCTTAACCCCAAGAGTCCGCGTTTAGCTGGTATTACTATACTGTCTAGTACAGTACTACCCGTTAGCTAACTGATGTAAGGCGGAAAGAGATGGATTATTAAAGGTAAAGATTAGGTTGATCTTATCTCTCTGACCCTATGATATTAAAGAGCATCGGGCATAGGATCATTTAGCGTTAACATCCCCACGTACTTCTGTACTATAGTTATCCGGAATCTGTCTACAGCTATTTAGATACCTAATCCTCACTGATTTTAACATATTCCCTTGCAATTGTAGCATATAACGAAGTAGGCATAGGACTACATAAACTAAGTATACTCTCCTAGGGTAGGTACTATATAAAACCTTAAGCTTCTTAAAAAGTAAGGTGTAGAGATTAGACTGAGAAAGTGAGACAAAAAGCGTAACTACATTAGATTTCACCTCTGCTACTGCTATTATAAAAAGTAATAAGATACGGAGTATTATAGTAGGAATAATCTATAAGTAATAATATATAGTGTTAAATCCAGCGTATTATTCTAATGTAAATGCTTAAGGTCAGAGTATATATACTTATAATAATTTACATTCAGTAGTATATACCGGAGTCTAGTCGGCATTAGTCAAATATTCATCCAACTGCTTCTCTTACTACGCTTATCCCCGCTCCCGCTGCTCCTGCTATAATCTAGGGAATTAGCTATATCTAAAAGATGTAAGTAATAGTATATTATAAACCAAAAGATAATAACAGTATTTAATAACATCTTTTATACTTAAAGGAATAGTATTAAGAGGAAGCTGCAAAGAGCAAACTTACTATATATACCGGTCGTCTTAATTTTTAAGTTTGTTTAGCTTTATTTTCTTTAGCATTATCTTTAATTAACAAGCATCTCCAATTAACAATAGAATAATTTTATTACTTATAATATTACTTATAATAGCACTATTTACAACTACTAAAACTTCTATTACAATATATAAGCAGCCCCTTAGACTATAAGTATTAAAGTTCTTTAATTATACTTACTTTAATTATTTATTCTAACGTTTACTACTAGCTTTATTAATAATAAGTTTATAAAAGGAACTAAAGGTAAATTAATTAAAACCTACAACCCTATAGATAAAAAACTTATTACCTCTGTCTATAAAACCACTAAAGTAAATATTACTATTACTATTACTGCAGTACATAAGGCCCTCTAAACTATATAATATTAAATTACCCTATTTAAACGTAGATATCTGCTTAAAAAATTAGCAAATCTTTTTAAACGTAATTTTAAAACTCTTACAGCTATTAAGTCTTTTAATAACGGTAAGCTACTAAGCCTAGTAAGGATAGATATTACTAGCGCTGCTGGTTACCTATAATACTATAGTAGCTAGGTAGATAAGATTTATAGTTAAATAATTAAAATAAATCCTAACTCCCTTAACTATACTTATCATAAACTTATTAATATCTACAGTTAAATCATCCTATAAAACTTCCCTCTTCTTATGTAAGCTTAGAAAATTAGCCCTGCGGTTACAGCTGGTAATACTATTATTTTTAAAATTATAGAATAAACTCCTTTTTTTAATCTCTACGCCTCTGCATTAGTAAAAGAAGCCGGTTTCCCTGCTAGTATAATTAATACTATTTCCAGCTATAGTTGTATTACTAGATTTATAATCTTTAGTTATATAGATATTAACAAAGTTGCCTTTACTAGCTTTACCTTTATTAAATAAACTATTCTTTAAGCTATAGTAAAAAGTAACCTTAAAAAGGTAACTTTAGAACTTAGTAGTAAATTACTAAATATTATCTTTAATAATATTAACTTAGATAATGCTATTAAATAAGTTAACTTTAGTATCTACTATACTAGCGGATAAATTTATTATACAGGCTCTTATATTCTTATATAGGAAGGTATCTATAATAAATTTATTAAGCAATTTAAGGAGTATGCACTATAAAATAAGCTTAATAATCCTTTTAATAAGTAAACTTTCTAAGGTCCTTAGGTCTTACAGCTATAATTTAACTAAATTATGGGATATATTAAGGCCAGTAAGCAGGGTAGTGTAACTTTTACTTTAGGTAGTAGATAATATAGTAATAAAGGTTTCTTTATTAAACCTACTGTCTTTACTAACGTAACACCAGAAATAAAGATCGCCTAGGAAGAGATTTTCAGTCTTATTACTACTATTTAAAAGTTTAAGAATAAGGCTAAGGCTATTAGGATTAGAAATAATAGTAACTACGGTAAGTAAAGTCTACTGTTATTATCTAGGGTACTGTACACTAATATAAAATATAGGTTTTACAGGTGCTATTTATACTAGTAATATTAATACTACTATCTGCGTCTTAAACGCTTTATAGGCAGGGTATATTTAATGATATTCTTTACTATATTGAACCTGGCTAATGATATTTATAGTACTGTCTAAATTAACTAATACAATATAATATCCTACCAGACTCCATTTAGTGGGTATAAGGAGTCAGGTATTAGTTGTAAACTTAGTTCCTATGCCCTTAAGAATTACACATAGGTTAATTCTATACGGTATTTATTAATTAATGCTTTATTTGCTTAAATATGTTTATATAAGTTATTAGTGTAAGGCAATTGGTATAGACTCAAGTTTAAAGATAGAACAGCTTAAGTACAATAATATATTAATTTAACTATAGAGGCAGAGTAAGATATAATTCATTTCTACTGTAATAAAAGATTACGTTAAGCGTCTTAATTAGCGTAGCGATTAGGACTTATAATTACATTAGTTAATAACTGCAAAGTTACTTAACTTTATAAGCTAAGTCCAGGGGACTTTTCTATTTAGCTCCTCCTCGCTATTAATATAATTAAAAACAGGGGTTTTCGTAATACTAGCAGCAGCCCGAGAATATATATATTTTTTAATAGTGTAATTAAATATAATATAACGGTTTATAAACTTAATAAGCTGTTTTTACTAAGTGGTTATTACAGTAACCTGGCTAGAGCTAATACAGCTAGTAATAACAGCATTAAGGCAGGTAGCCTAGTAGGCCTTAAAAGCAGCTAAGAGTTACGCTGTAGTAGGAATACTGTAAACGCTGTTAATAGATTAAAATATATTAGCTAACTTATTAAAGAGCGTAACTATATTAACAATGCTATTGTTATACCTAGTACTAGTGCTGGGGGTGAATTTATACGCTATATTACCGGTAAGTATAATATACCTAGCGTATAACTAGTGTTAGATAATACCCTCCTTAAGGTTAATTATTTTAGCGCCCCTGCTATTACCGACGTATGTATTATAGGCATCGCGGATTATTAATTTATGTAAAATAGGTAGGTAACCCCAGCGGCTAATAAATACTTTTTTATTAGTTATACTATAGCGGATGCGCTTATAGGTTAGCTTATCTATATACTTATAAATACTAATAACAGTAGTGTCCTTACTAGTAAATAGTTAAATAATGACGTTACGCCCGTAAGTTTCGTTAGTATCTCCAGGGCATAGGTTGCCCTGCGTAGGAAAACGAATCTATAGAGTACGGTAGGTAGTCAGGAATAGCTATTCTTTATTTACTTAGGAATCCTCAGTACCTAAAATCTAGCTTACTTAAAAAGCAAGCGTATGCATCTAGTTACGTATAACGCTATAGGCACTATCTGCTCCAATAATAATAAATCTATTATAAAAAGTCCTATTATAGTAAATAATAATTATATTATTATTTATAATAAAGATATTAAAAATACACTTATTAATAAACATTTTAGCCTTACTTTTACCTAAAAGTAAGTTATAAAGGACGGCGGTAAAATTATAGTAACTAACAGCTTTAAGAAAGCAGCTATAGCTATTAAGCTTATTAACGTATATACTATAAGGCTATATTAAGAACAAATATTATACTTTTTACTAATATATATAAAAGCCTAGCTAGTACCTAGATCCTTTTTATTATAGTTTAAGTATTTTATTTAAGCTAACGGTAAACTAACGGTATTAAAGGCAGGGAGAAGTCTAAGCTGGCCTAAGATACGCAAGCCTATAGGGTTTATAACTAGGTTAAAACCAGCGTTAAGGATAATACTTAGCCGGCTTTTAAGTATAATAAAATCAATACTAGCGTAGGATAGGGTATAAGCTGTAATAAGCCCAACGGGGCTGCTATTAATAATAATAACTTTAAAACCTAAGGGACTTATAGTGTATAGGGCTGGAGCTAAAGCTGAATTTTATATAAAAAACTTTAAATAGTACTCTTAAGATTTAAAGGAGTTCTTAGGCCGTTCTGGAACAGAGTGATAGTATTAATGGTTGTAATGTATTTAACTTATATTTTTGAGATGTTTTTAATAAGCAGAAGCGGTTTAGAGAGATAATAGTTATAAGTGGCTATACTTATATTAGAAAGGTACTTCGTCTGCAGATAGGTAAAATGGTAGTTGGTAATCCTGTTCTTATAGCTCGTTGGACTATGAATTGCGGTTAATTTACATGGCTTGCAATCGCATTGCTAGTATGTGTATGCCCTGCATTTCCGTTATTATACTACTAACTAAAATAAGTTAAGGGAGCCGATGATAATTCTAATGGTATAACACAGTCTCCTGTGGACTAAATTACTCCGCCTTAGTATGCGCGTTAAAACTCTCTTGCTTTTAATAATTATGCCTAAGCCTTAGTTTCTCAACTCCACCCTTTAGGCACTAATCAGACATCTAACACTCTACGTCTAAGTTACAGGTGTGGGACAGATAATGGGGTGTATTTAGGGATTGGTAATAACTACTAGATGATTCTTTTTTATTAAACCGATTGGTTTATCTTACTTTCTTTGGCATCTAAAGAGCACCTAACTTGTGGAGAGATATTGTGTGCGAAGCTAATGGACTACCATTGGTTTATGCATGAGAACCGGCTTAGAGTTATATAAAATCAGGTGGAAAGGGAAGATACAACAGTGTGAATGGATATCTTTGACTAGATACTAGAGCATAGTACCTGGGGTAAATTAAACAGATGTGAGAAGTATAATTTTGCTAGGACGTTATTGTTTTGTTAGTTTATACGAGTAAGGAATTATCGTGGCCTACGACTTGTGTCCCTCTGTGACGTAACCAAATAAGCACATGGAACAGCCATATAATACATGGTATCAGGCGGATGCGACGTGATATTGGAGCAAGAGAATGTAAAATATGCCACTGGTTTAAGAATCTTAATAACACCGGGTTCATTACTGTCAGAGGCCGAGTCCTGCCAGGTATATCCATGTTTATCTCAAACCGTAATACTAGAGCTAGGGAGTATTAATAAAGATCTCAACAACTTCAAGATACCCGTCCTATGAAGTAATGTATAGGGGTATGGGTCTCTCCTAATCTTAGATTGTAATATTTAGATTTGCACAAAGCAATATCTTTACTATACTTATATTTCCCTTTGAAGTGGTTGCTGCAAGTGCCATTTGTCCAAGTGTAGATGGCCCCGTTTTAGTTGGAATCGAAGTTTTCGCCGGTTTCAACAGCTCCCGCGGACGGTTTGGCAGGCCTTTGGACTAGTTTATTAATTAATTACTATAGATCACATCAGCATGTCAATATTTAGGCCGCGTGGCAACCAGCAAGAAAACATGGCAGTTCGAACAAGCTGCTATAAGTGTCGCCCGTTTCTTCCTTTTTCAGATAGGTATCTAAAAGTGTAATGCGCCTCAGAATATAGTTTCAGTAATTACATCAGCACGCTAATTTGTAGGCAGGCTGCTTAGCAATCAGGAAGAGAACATCTATGGTAATCAGAACTAGCTGTGTACGTATCGCTCGTTTCTTCCTTTTTCAGACAGGTTTCCGCAAGTGCCATGCGCCTCAGAATTAGCTTCCGGGATTCCCTCAGTACGCCAATATTTAGGCTGTATGGTAACCAGCAAGAAAAACTCGGCGATCGGAGTAGTAATTGGTCCTGCCAAGCTTCGACGAGGCCATATTGCAAAATAGAAGCGACCATTGTCTCCACGCCAGATCAAACGAAGCCCCATCACCCCACTCGCGATAATTGCTAGCTTCAGCCCTGACCACGTTCTTAGAGATGGTAATTTGGCCACAGTACCAGTCAACAAGGGAGTACCGTCATCTTCCAACCGCTCTCTTATTACAGGGGCCGCAGCTATTGCCAGCTTGCATCTATTCCTTTATTGCAAAATGATATACGTTTAGGTCTAACTCTTAACTTTTTTCGGGACGATGGCGGTTATAATTAGGCCCATGGGTTTATTACATTGGCGCAACCAGTATTGGAGCTACTGCCAGAGTACATGTAATTATTCGTCCTGAAAGTAGAATCGCAGGTCATGTAGTCCTGCGCGACTAGAAGAGCCTTTGGTAGTTTTGGGACATAAGACATAACAAATATAAATCGCGAAGGCGATTTCTCTTTATTGTAGTAGGTGCCTGTAATATTCTTTCAACTAGGTACATTACTATACATGAGTACCTATAAACACTAGCTTTAAGGGCTATGACAAGCCGTAGTTGCACCTGGCTTCCATGTTGTAAGAAGAATTATTGAAGTATGAATCCGTGTCCTTCAGCTCGTAATAGTGGCAAAAAAAAAAAGGTTGATTATATTGCCTCGATCCTCTATGCCGGGATGCTGTTTGCGAGCGTCTGGTAGAAATTGCACCGCGTACCACGGCCACCTTCCCAAGTATCGGCTAGGACGACAGAGATAGTATTACGTAGGCCAGGTTGTTAAAACTATATAACAGGCACGCCCTATTATATAGTAAATAAATAGGGCACGCTACCTATCTTATTAAGGTTAAGCTACTTAGGGCTGGTTTTAGTCTAGGCTGGCTAGGTAAAGGCGCTATTCGTTATATTAGGGTTTAGCGAAGAGGCTTTATTAATAATAGTATTAGTTATAGATAAATTCCCTTTTGTAATAAAATTACCCTAAATACACCTAAAAGCTAGTATAAAATCGGTAGATAGGTTTAGTATTAATAGACTAAAGTAGGTGTTTATATTAGTAATATATAAGGCAAACGGTACTAAAAATTAGTAGTATTAGCTCTACTAGCCTTTTAATATAGGCCGACGCTATTTAATAAAATAGGTAAATAAATATTACTTCAGTATAAATATTATTTACTTATTACTACTAGCTGTTTACATCCTAGGATACTTTAACAGCAGTTAGACCTATTACGCTATTAGTTTTAAATAAAGGGCCTCCCGTAGTATTTATATTATTAAGATTTATAGCTAGGATAGAATTAATTTAGGTATTAAAGAGGTTAGGGAATTTAGCGTATAACTAATTAATTATATCAGTAATAGTTAAGATAAAAGGGGGTATAAAAAGAGGGCTTTTATTAGTATTATTACTAACCAAGAGCTTCTTTCTATTTACTTTCTTAGTTTTTAGTTACTGGCTAAGTAGACCTATAATATAAATATTATCTTTAATAAGGTAGAACGCCCTGTAATATAATAGTTAGCTAAGATAAAAAATATAATAGTCTTTCTTAAATACTAACTAGTAACTATAGGTCTGCTAAGCGGTTAATTAAATGTTAGTATTCTATAGGCTAACTGTATCTTTTCCAGTAAGACAGGAGAAGATATTCCCTAAGCTAGGGCAGCCGGCCGTAATTAAGAATATATAGTAATAAGCCATAGGCCAGGCAGTATTATAATTATATTAGAAAGGTAGGTATAAAGATATAGTAATTTCCTGGTTAAAAAGCAAGGTACCTAAGCTGCCTTTAGCAGCCGTATTATAGTATATAATAGAGCTCCCGCTGGCTAAGTCGCCCGAAATAGTAATAAATAAAGGGTCGCCGCTAAATTAGGCAATAAAGAGTTTAATTTACAACAGTGTAAATGCTTGGTTAAGGAGGCTGGCATTTACAACGCCTTTGCTCTTTACTTCCTGTAATAACAGGAAGCCGAATACGCCTAGCTAAGTGTTTTTTTCCTATTAGCAAGGGGATAATAAGTAGAAGGTGTATAAAACGTAAATGCTTCTTTACCTAATACTATATTATAACAGTAATAAATTTATTATTATTACTGTTTATAATACTGCTTATATTAAGAGTACTATTACTAAAGCTATATCTACTACTATAGATGTATACTAAGACCGGTAGCCTGGAGGCATTAGATAGTACGTAGACGTTTAAGAACAGGCAGTCTTTATTACCTAGAATGCTAAGGACTCCAGGTACAGCTAAATATACCTATAGATAGATAGGGCTAAAGTTAGTGGCGGGAATTGGTTATGTTAATAACTAAGTAATGGGAAAATGTAGTAGTTGCTAGCGGAGATTCCCTGTAGGTACTGCTGTATATCTTATGCTGTAGTAAGAGACGTATCCTTATGTTTTAGCCTTTTGACTTTAAAGTAAGATAGATAATAATTAAAGTTAAAGTGCTTATACCCTTTCTAAATGTTAAGATCGCTTATAGAGTTATAGTAGCCTTTATACTTAGCATAACTAAGGCTTACTTATAATAAACTTAGAGACCGCTATATCTTACTTAAATCATTAACATTTATATATAAAGCATTAGCTATTAAGCTAAATAAGAAACCTAATGTAATATTGCTGCTGTTAACTGAGTTCCTTTTTATAATAGTTAATATAATATTAATAGGGGGGGCGGGAACTGCAAGGGAGAAGCCTGCGATTATTAAAATAAGAACCTTAGCTGAAAAATACATTATCTACTCCGTGCCTAGGAGCACTGTTAAAAATAGAAGAAATACGTGCGAAGTATAAAGCGTAAGAATAGCAAGAGAACGGAGTATTAAAATACAACCTATCGTACCTGTTGCTCTTATATTTAGATATATTTCGCAGTATTATATTTATAAGTAGCCTAACTATCCTATAATATATAATTTAATAGGAATAATAATATAAGCGATAGCTATTTACGAAGTACGAATAGGCTAGAGCAAGGGGTAAGGTATCCGTCTTCTTGGCTTTTTTAAGTAACACCGGTGCCGGCGCCCTGAATTAATACTATGTTATTTAAAAAGAGCATTACATAGGTTAATCTAGACCCTATGCGCCGCCAATATGCTTACCCTCCTTTATTAAGGTTAATAACCTATAAATTCAGCTGTGCTTATTATAGACCAACTTAAGTGGATCCTAGTAATTATTGTAAATATGCCTTTATATAAGTGTGCTATTAGAACACGTATTAAGGTAGTAGTTATATCTTAGTTATGCACTTCACGGGGATTTATCTAAGAAAGGAAGAAACGGGCGACGAGTGCAGCGGGTTCCAGCCTAATATATATCTGCTCGTAGCATGTATTATTAAGCATTACGCGCGTCTACACAGCCTCTTCCGGCGATGGCCTGGGGGGAATGGGAGACAGATTTTGGCAGTCTGGTGGGATGTAGGAGCAGAGACAAGCTCTATCACTAGGCAGGCGCGTGAGGCTGCCGGCATAAAGTCAGCATCTACTATACAGTAAAGCAAGTCCCTGTCGACTATCCGTCACCTAACCATATGCCAAGATTGTCAAACAATCCCTGACCTGTAGACTTCAATACGTCCAGCGTATTCCAAAGCAATCAGAGATCCTTGAACAATTTGAACATAAGGGGGGACGAGAGCATTGATAACTATTAACAGCAGCTGAAAACTACTTTAGGTCAAACCTGAGAGATTCGGTATTGACAAACATCTGTAAGCCAAATGATATAAGACACCAATCTCCGGACATTGCCGCACATATACACGATTGCTCCTTCTGCCGTTTTACTTCAACCATCATCATAGTCTAGCCAACTGCTTTAACTAAAATCCTTTACTACTATGTAGGAGTAGAGCGGATGCGTTACGCCGGCTGCTGTTCAGGAATTAACTAAGATGGAAGCCCTGTACTCCGTGGTTAATGAAAGATCGTATCTAAGAATATTCATTGCTGTCTTTCTCCACTAAGAGGAATTAAAATACTATACCTACAGGGAAGAGGATAATACTAAGTCCCTATAAGCTAATACTTTTCTTAAGGAAGATTAGTAAGGACTGCGTAATATAATAGCAGCAGGCTAATAGGTTTACTTAGGCTAGTAGCTCTATCTATAAGACTGCTGCCCTGCGTATTATATTATATAATATAAGGCAGGTAGTCTAGTATAAGTTTAACGTATAGGCCCTGGTAATATCTTCTATAAAAATCTTAGTATCTAGCTCATAGTTAAAATCTTTTACTACTTTATTCAGGCTAAATAATATATACTACGTAAGCAGGTCTCTATTGTATTTCCAGCAAGTTTAAAGTAACTTTTCTTATTGCTTACGCTTTTTCACTAAATTAGTCTTATCTTATAGATTATCTAACTTCTCTAGGACGGTGGGAATGTCTACTAAAATATTAACGAGGCTATTTATAGCAGATTTCGGTTTAAGGCTCCAGGGTACTTATTTCTAAGCTAGGCTACTAAGGATAAACTTTTTACGGGTATAAATGCTTAAAAGGACCTTTATAGTATAATAACCGTTAGTTAGTTTATAAAATAAAACTTTAGGGCTTTAACTATAACTATACGCCCGTTGTAAAATATATAATAACTAATACCGCTAGCGTACCCCTTTGGGCCTTTCCTAAGGAAAATTACAACTCCCCCCTTTATATAGTTAACCTAAGCACGTGCTTAGGCGACTTTGTCTTACCTATCGTCTCTATAGAATATCTAGTTAGCTGTATTAGATCTAACTGTGTAATTTAAAATAAGGGAGGGAGAAGGGAGTAAGTATAACTTTAAAGAGGCTTATTATCTTAGTGGTAACTAAGATTCTATTGTAATTAACCTATAACGAATTAAGTAGCGCCCTTTTTATTTTACATAAAGCTTTTCCGTAAATCCTAAGCCCTACATCTTACATCTATTGCTTATTATCTCTCTTTCTGACGTTAGCTAGTGTAAAAGCAATAAAAGTATTACGTAATATAGGCTTATGGAGATATAAATCCTATGCAAGGAGCATCCAGCCGCTGGAGGCATAAGAGATAGTAGTTTCTAAAATTAAACAACTAAATAAAAGAAACAATTCCTAAAATAAACTAAGGTACTTAGCCTTAAATACAGCCTCAGCTAGTGTATCAGATAATATAATATTAAGTAGCTCGTTAGATTTAGTAATAGCTGGTTTACGGAGCGCTTAAATCGTTAGGATAAATAAGCCTTCTGTAATTATATAGTATTAAATTAACTTACAACCTACGGTTCTCGCAGTATTACACCTACAGTCCTTAGGCGCCCGGCTGTATATAAAAGATAGCCCTTAGTTATAGACGTATTTAACGTACCAGTGGCGGCATAGACTGCATCTTAGAAGTTAAAGGTCACACTGTATTCCTTGTTAATTAGTAGCTTAGGATATACCCTACCCAGGGAAGAGTACCTAAACTACGATAACAGGATTAAATATACTTAACGACGACGTACTTTCTTTTTTTAGTACCGGTAGGCCCTGTAACGCTAAGACTGCCCTGGTTCTCTTAGTATAATGCAGAGGCAGCTATGTCCTTTCTAATCGTAAACTATAGCACTCTGCTGCTGGGAGGTGGGATCTCTTTTTATTTTCCCCTTACTTCTCTCCAGTTATATCGACTGGCCGATGGAGTTAAGATTATAAGAATCATCGGCAGATATAGTGCTGACGTAAACGCGGTGCCCATTTCTTATCAATTATTTATTTGTTTATTTATTTTATTATTAACGTCCACTAAGTAATCTAGTTATATAAGTCCTTATCTAGGCACTAGGACAGTAAAAGCCGCCGAGTTTAAATCGGGCATTTGCTACGTTTTAATATAACAAAGGAAAAGGGGATATATTAATCTATTTTACGTATTTATTTCTGTAGGGGGGGGGCTATATAAGCTTATATCCTCCACTAGTTTCTAAAAGTCCTTATACCCTCTATTACTAAGGAGGTATTAGATATAGGTAGTTCTAAAGCGCACCTCCCTTTCTAATACATTAGGGAGAAAAAGGGCTACTATATAATACTTTATAAAATATCCTTATATCCTTAGTTCCCCGTATTTATAAGTAGGCCTAGTATTATATCTAAATCTTTTGTAATATTCTATAAAGTCCCCGTATTTAAACCTTTTAGCTAACAGCCTATATAAGATTAGGCGTAGGAGATATAGTTTAAGGAGTATAAAAGGGGCTTTATAAAGGCCTTATCTACCAGCCTTATAAAACTCTAAGTAGTTACTCTCTTAGTCAGCATCCTATATTTCCTTACGTTTTTTTTTTACCTACTTTTTAATAAAGGTAATAGTAAAGTAGTTTTTTAAGAGGCAAGGGAGTTTTAAACCCTCCTTTACTAATTAGTTAGCTTCTTTATTTCCTAGTATATCTTTATAGCCTAGGACCTAGGCTACCTTTATAATTACCTATAGAAGTAATTTCTAAGCGATTTAACATAGCCCTATATAAGCTCCTTAGGATAAGGTAGGAGTTAGCCCTAGTATTCTATCTACTACCGCTAAGTTATTTAAAAAAAGCAGAATCTCTTAAATATCTAAGTTTACAAAAGTATATATCCTAGCTAACTTTATAGCTTTAAAGGTACCTACCGCCTTAGCGTTATAAACCTCTACGTTAGCAAAGGGACTATATATTATAGTTCTTTTAAAGTTATAGTATATAACAGCTCCTTAGCCTATATTACCTTATTTATTCTATAAGCCGTCTAAGTAAGTAAGGAGGGTAAACCTAGGGAGGCTATTAAGTAATTCTAAGTATTTTTCCGCTACCTTTAACTTCAGTAGGCCTCTAAAATCTAGGCCTACTTAAACTACTTTATTATTCTTAGTAAAAAGGGAGGGTTAGACTATTTTCCCTACTAAGGCTATAGTATATTATAGTTAGGTAAGGGGAACCCTAGGCAGGAGTTTCTTATTAATACATCTGCTAACTAGGTAGTTCCTATCTAGGCCTGCAAAGCAAACTACTATACAGAGTCTAGTCTATACTACCTATACTAATGCTAAGGGGACTCCTAATTCTCTATATATAACGGAGAGGTTAATCATCTTCTACACAGGGATAACTACTTTAGCTACTACTTTAAATAGGGGTTCTAGGATTATAGTTAATCCCACTAAGCCTATTCCCACTTATTTATTTAGGTTTATTATACTCTATCTACTTTTACTAGGCTAAAACACCTCCGTCCTATATAAGGCTACAGGAATAATACAGGCCTTAGCTACTATAGCCACTACATTTAATAGGAATCCTTTTTATATCTTATTTAGGGATCTTAGGAAGTTAGCTGCTTTAAGGGCTTTCCCCTTTATAATCCTAAGGTATTTTTTAAAAAAAAGCCGTAAGTCTAGGTATATCCCTAGCTAACGGACTAAGTCCTAGGGGGCTATAGTCTTTCCTCTAAAGTCTACTCCCTCGTTATATATTTAGGTTCTAGTCCTATAAAAATATATAAGTTTAGCTTTATCTAGGTTAAAGGAAACTGCATTCCTATTACCTTAGTTTAAGGTATCTTTTAATTTCTACTAAAGCTTCTAAGCAGTTTCTTTAGTATTAGCCCCTACTACTATAATACTAATATTATTTATATACCTAAAGTAGATGTTAAGGTTATTAAGCTTTAGGCTAGGGGAGAAATAAAGTATAAAGACAATAGAAGAGATAGGGGACCCCTGTAGGGCTCCGTATTCTAGCTCTATCTCCGGGAGGGTAGTCCCATAGCTATTTTAGATAAAAGCCTTACAGTTACTTATAAAAAAGTCAACCTATTTTATAAAAAGGGGGGGCTACCTTTATTCCCTAAGTCTATAAACTAGGCAGTTATATATAATAATATTAAATACGCTAAAGATATTAAATATAAGGAGGGAGATAATAAAACCTTAGGCTAGGGTAACTTTAGCGTTATATAGTAGATAGGCAACTAGGTTTATTATAAACCTTTTTAAAAAAGCCCTAAAATATTATTCTAGCAGTATTTTATATTTTATTACTAAAAGGGAAACTCTTCTAGCTAAAAGTCTCTTAAGGCCTTTACTTATATAGAAGAGTAGGAAAATAAATCTATAGCCTTTATATATAATATATACTTTTTTTAACTTCTTAGGTTTAGGGATAATAGTAATCTCCGCGCTTTAGAAAGGGAGTAGGTAATATTCTATTATTAAATATCTACGAAAAAGGTTAATTATATACTTACCGATAGTAGACTAAGTAAGCTATAGAAAGGTAACTAATATACTATCTACACTAAGCATAGTATTTCCTAACCCTATTATAGCTTTTTTAATCTCTAACTCTAATACTATTTAATCTTAGTAAATATTATTATTAATAGGGAAGTCCTCTTCCTATAGGTTTAAGATATCCTCCTTTATTATCTTACGCTTAAGAAGCTTATCTTTAAGAAAAGTTACTTTTTTTATAGGGTTTAAGATACTTTTATCCTTATTTATTAAGGGGGGTAGTTAAAAGTAGTCTATTACCTTATGCTACTTAGCTACTAATTAAATATTTTTAATAGTACTAGCTTCTATTATAATTTTATTTTAGTAAGCTTACTTACTATAGTATATAAAGTTTTTAAAGGTTTTATAGGCTCCTTTTTAGGCAGAGGAGCTGTCTACTACTTCTTTATAGGCTTTATAGGCTGCTTTATACTTTTCTAACTACTATAGTATACTATAGCTGTTTTAGTATTTAATTTTACTAACCCCTTTTATAGCTTATTTAAAAAGGTTCTGCAGGGCCTTAGCGTATTTATTAAAGTTAGTTTCTAATAGTATAGTTAAGTTAACTATAGGGAGGGTTTAAGTAAAGGAGTATATAAGTTAGCCGAAGTCTTCTTAGTATTTTAATAAAACGTATTTTTTCCTTACCCCTAGGGTTATCCTAAGGGGTTCAGGTAGGTTTATAATTATTATATAGTAGTCTAACCTTATATTAAGGGAGTATTTAACCTTAGTTAACGTAGGGTAGTTTATAAAAACTAGGTTAATGTATTTTCCTAAGTATTAGGTAGGTATATTTATTAAAGCTAGGAGGAGATTGTATTTTTTTACTTATTTTGTAATTTTATTACCTACTAGGTCTGCGCTTTTACTTAATTTTTAAAGTTAGTATAAGGTATTAAAGTCGCCTGTAATAATTAAGCGGGGGGGGGGGAGGGCCTTATTTAGTAAGGGTTTCTATAGCTAAGTTTACTAAAGCCCTTTAGTAGACGTTAATAATAATATAACTATATACTTTTATTTAGTATATATATTTATTCTCTAGGCCTAGGGGAGAAAGTTATTTACTAAGGAGGTTTAAAGAGATTTTAATAAATATAAGAACTAAGGGTCTAGCGTTTCTTTAATTATTTAGGGGGTTATATACTTAATATCTAGGGTAATTCTTAATTTACCTTTTATTTAATACCTTATTCTATTAGGCATAAGGTTCCTAAATTAGTATAATATTATAGTTACCTTCTTATATTAGTAATAAGGCGATGTCCTAGTGTAAACTACTTCTCCTAACGTTAACTTAAAAGATTTTAAGGCTAGTGTTTCTTTAGCAGCTACGATAGGGCCTGTTGTTTATAGGCTTACGTTAAAAGGTCCGTTAGTTCTTAAGGAGGCGTTAAGTATATTTTTATTACCTTTGGCTTTTTCCTCTTTATTATTTAGGCCAGCTACGTAAACTACCGACCTAGCGGAGGAGGTTCCCTTATAAGGATCTTCCTTATTTAAGTTAACTTTAATAATAACCTTTTTAGCTAAAGCCTAAGGGGGGAAGGGTAAAGCTAAGCTAAAGATTAACAGCCTTATGCAAGGGCTTATTTAAATCTTTAGGTTAAATGTTTTTTTAATATTAGGGGCCAGGGTGGGGGCAGGTTTAGGTTTAGGTAGGTTAGCTTTATTATATTCCTACTAGCCTAATTCCTAGATTACCTAGAGTTAGGCTTTAGTTATTTATACTTTTTCCCTATTTTTAATAACTAGTTTAGTAGGGTATTTTAGGGAGTCTGCTATATAAGGGTTATTATAGTTAATATACTAAGGTAGGGATAAGTAGTTAGCCGTAGAATTATTATATTTAAAAGATAGTTTACTATATTTATAATACCTTTTAGTCCTAGTGTAATTCCGTAGGTTATAGAATCTAAAGTACTATAGGTACTAGGTGACCTAAGGGGGCTGGACCTAGATTTCCGCTAGAAGGGAGCTGCTAAAAAGTTTAAAGTTAGGTTTAACATCCTTATTAAAAGAGATAAAGTAGTTATACGTATTAAGGGATTCTCTGAAGTTAGCTTTACAGTAGGAGACGAGTAGGCTCTTAGCCCCTGCCCTAGCGTATACCTCCTCTAGGATTAGTACATCTATAGGGTAAGTCCCGCTTATATTAGTATACGTCTTTAATACACCGTATATAAGAAAAACCTTTTATAAACATACTACTTTAATTTTTAAACCGTCGTTCTTTACTACCAGTTAAAGTATAATAATTTTATTTTTAATGTTTTAATTCTTACTTCTAAAGGTAAAGCCTAATTAAACCTTTTAGAAGTAAGTAATATCCTTATTTATAAGCTTTAAGATCTTAATTAGTTCTTATCTAGCCCTAATAGCCGATAGTTTTCTTTATATATAGTCTAGGGGGACTTAGATAAAGATATAGTTATTAAGGCTTTCCTTAGGTTTATTAATTTTATTTATATTTTTTCTATAGGTAGTAGGGGCCAGCCCTCTGCTGCTTATAAAGGAATACTTTAGGTTATTAATTCCCTTCTAAGGGTTTTTATTATAAATGTTTTCTTATAATATAATTTATACCTATGTAACCCTAGGGTCCTTCTGGCCTACTTTTCTAATAGACGCAGGAGCTTCTGCTAAAGTAAGGGTCCTAGCGGCGTTTAATTTATCCTTCTTATTATAAAATATATTAGCTAATATTATCTTAGTTAGTTAAGTAGCTTTTTTTTTACTACCTAATTTCTCAGAGTCTTTAGGCCTTCCCTTAGGGTTAATATAAAAGGCAACGAAGTTTTCAAAAGCAGTATTCAGGTATAAGCAAACTTATTCTACTACTACTAAGGAAAGCTAGGAGGTATATTACACCAGGCAGAAGTTAATAACTATAGCTATATTTAATACTACGTCTTATTTAGCCCGCTATTATACGTTAATTTTATTAATTTAGTTTATAATTTTATTCTTAGTAAGGGATTTCCCCTCTTTATTTAGGTTAGTAGCTTCCTTTACACTATTAAAGATAAAGGTAATAAGGCCTTTTAAGGCTGTTTACACTGCGGTCACCGTTACTACTACACTTAGTTTTACTTTATTAAAACTAGGTAAGGGTATTTTATCTGCACCAAAGGCTTCTCCAAAGCGTCTTTTCTTCTTAGGGGTAAAGGGGAGGACCGTAACCTCTCCCGTTTTTAGGCCTGAGGGGGTCACCTCCTTCGGTAGTTGGAAGGCTGTCGCTAGTCCAGGGGCAACAGGTTTCGTTCTATTCTAGTTATCTAAAGGGTTTACAGATATTTCCATCTCTCCAGGGTCCCCAGATGGGACCGTAAATAAAAAAATCGTAGTCGTTTTATCTAATAGCTAGTCAAACGGGTGGGAGTTTTTGGTGGTTAGGCACCCAAAAGGTGGGGTACCTGTAGATGTAGGAGGGAAGCTTGCCATTTCTTATCAAAAAGGGGTGTTTAAATACAGCTATTACCAGCTAAACTAGGAAGGAGATTAGTGCAAAGCCCCCTTCCGTGCTAGACTCTCCCTAAATACCCTTGGTTCTATTACAACCTCGCGCCTTAAATTATCACTGGTGGTAATAACCCGTACCAACCCGTGCCACCGACTAGCAGCAGGCTGAACTTAAATGGTAGCAGCATGATGACTATAATAAGCAATAACAACAGATGCCGGTGACCACGTGGTTACTGGTTACCGCGTGCGGATGTGCATTCGCCCAACTTTTGATAGGTAATTGTTTCTCAAGCTGTCAGTTGGTCGGATGTATACATGTATCGCTTTTCGCACTATCTTTTGTGGTAATACAGCGACAACTATCGCCTTTATCATCAAGTCGCGGATGAAGTAGGACGGACACTTTCCCAATCTTGCTTGGTTTTCATCACTTGGATCTTCTTGACAGCATTCGACCCATTTCAAACAAGTGTTATAACTAACAAAATATAATTACCCAGAATAAGTTTATCTCTACTCCTCGTAAGATTATACCATACATGATGATTATGTCCAACCGCTAGTCAATCTCCGCTAATAAAGGCCGTGAATGAGTGCTTAGCATGTGGTGTCAATATAGTTGTTGCTATGAATATGGAAATCAGGTAGTGTTGGTGGCAGCTCTATGGATCCAGTGCTGCAACCCCGTGATCAGTAACTCAGCATTAGGCGATGCATGAGTTACGATGCGCACATTAAGACTTTCCATGACTACAGTGTTGACGGCGGCCAGGCCCATCAGAGAAAAAAAACACAACAACCATTTTATCTGTTAAGGATGCGAACATGCCAAAATCCGGAAACATGCGGTTGTGCTTCCGCTCCTTGTCTTCCTTGTCCTGTCACAACCATTGGTGTTTATAGCATTGATGTTGATTCTATATGGGACAATGCCAGACGATGAGATCATGGGCATAGCGATTTGTCATGGACTTGGTACGTCTTCTCTAATATTTATCTACTGCTGCACAATAACTCCTGCGCTCTCGACCTCCCATATGGCGGCGCGAATTCTTTGAAGGTCGCCAGAGAAAAGTCTTGGCCGATTTCATCAATCATAATCTTTCTGTGGCCGGCGCTGAGTTGGTCCTAGAAGTTCATTGATAGGACTAACCGAATGAGAATTTGACGAGTCGGACGGCATGCGAGCTACACTACGGAGCATGTCTATTGCATGAACCGCAATGTTTTGCCCCTGCAATGTATTGTAGTACGGAAGAATAAAATACCATTAGCATACATACACTGTCATCAACATAGTTTCTACGCACTAGCTTGCGATTCCAAATGCTATTGGAGTTAAGCTGAAGTGTCTAGAGATGGAATAGTTCAACTCAACTCTTGTTCCTTCTCTTTTCCTCCATGTCGTTTGTGTGACGGATTAGATTGCGCCTGGCCATTGTAAGGGAACATGTTGAATGCTCTAAATACAACGGACTTGTAAAAAACGCCCAGTTCAGACTGCTTTCCTAACAGTAAAATTTCTTTATTCAAGCATGTCGAGACGTACGCCTAGTGATAAGTGTCGGAGCGAAGCTCTTCGGTTCGGTTAGCGAAGTCCACTTGGGCTCCTCTACCAAGAGGCACATGGCTTGGATGTATTTGGAAATAGACGAATACACCACAACGCCCCAAGAGGATGGAGCCCCTCTCGGGGCAAATTTGTTGGTCTCATTGGACGTAAACTGTTGGCATATACCGGGGATGATAATGGGGTCCCCACTATTGTCTCTGCTCAACACAACGTATTCCCTTGTCTAGCGCGTCTCTCTCTCTCCCGGGGTAGGCTCTTGCAAACATATTTTCTCGAGATGGATGAATATCCAGTTGGCACCCTACTTTGCACGCCACAGTTACCAAATCTGTCACAGATGTCCTTGATCTTCCCGTCCTCGTGCAGGTGTGAATAGACTTGATATATAGATGAAAGTGAGGCAAGGTTCTCAAGCGACCTCCAGAACTCGAAGGTATCTAATTGGAATGCACAAGTCATGATCACGAAGAAGCCCCGACCCTATCCAGTTTGAAACGAGTTTTTTAAATCTGGGTAATAAACGAATGTATTTTGGTCGTAACTGTGAGGTTCCAAAGCCATTATTGCCTGACGAAACAATAGAGTTTAGAGGCGGAGTGGGGGCTGTACCCGTCGCCCGTTTCTTCCCTTCTTAGACAAATCCCCAGAAGTGCGGGCTTGAATATTACGTCAGCTCCACTTAGCTTAGCTCTTCAACTTCTCTTAGGCGTAGTAATTGATATAGCGTTAAACCCTACGGAGGACACTTATATAGGAATATAATTAGAATAGGGTAATTAATTTAATAATTCTTATAAATATAATTGCTGGCTGTTGGTGATTTATATAATTTTAATAAGTTTTTAATTAAAGAAATAATAGAACAGAAGATTGTAATATATTGCCCTAATAGTATACATTCCGCCCTTTCTATAAATTACTTAAGGCCTTGTAATTTCTTACTCTTACCTCAATTTTACAACACTTATAATACGCTATAGCTAACTACAGAACACAAAAATCAGCTGCGTTATTATACTAACTATATCTACTTCCCTTGTTACTGGTGGTATAGGCTATATTACTCTTTATATTATAAAAGAGCTTCTTAAGCACGGCTATATAGTATATATAATAGTACGCAGTCTAAAGAACTAGTATAAGTGTAAGCCCTTACTCGACCTGCAAGTTGCCTATCTAGGCAAACTCCGCCTATTTAAGGCAGACCTCTTTATTTAAGGCTTTTTTAAAGAGGTAATGTATAACTGCGATACTATCTACTATATTACCTTACTGTTTATTTTACTATAATAGACTAAAAATAAAATAAAAGAAATTATTAAGCTAGCCCTAAAGGGAACTTAGAATATCTTTAATAAAGTAAATAAGATATAATCTATTTAATATATTATTCTTATATCTTCCTATATATTCTTTAGTTATAAATATCCTAATATATTCCTTAATATCTTTAGATAATAATATTAATTATATACTGCAGTTATATTAATATATTATAATAGTTCTAAAGTTTATACCCTTCCTAAGTATATATTAACTAAATCTATTTAAAATATAATAGCCTTATTAATATATAATCCCTATACCTACTTTAAAGCTAAGTTAAAGAGGCTGGTCTAGCGTATTGCTAACGCTTAATTATAAACTTACTAAAATCTTATTACTATTTGCCTAAGCCTTATACTTAGCCCTCTGCTATCTAACGCATTTAATTCTAGATCTTTATATATACTTAAGCATATATATAAAAGCTCCGACCGGTATAGTATCCTAAATTACTTATACGTAATTATTAATGTATATAACTTAGCAGTTACGTATATTACAGCGGGTAAGAACGCTAAGGCAAACGGGAGGTACATTATATCTTACGTAAAGTCAACGAGTATGCTCGCTATAGCTAAGCTAGTGTACCCGTTTTACAAGCAGGTAAGGCTATTGCCGGCGAGAGCGATGCCTAAGTTACTTATCTATTTAGCGGCACCGTTCCTAAACGTGTCTAAGCGATGGGCGGATAGAAACCTGGGTATTAACTTTAATTTAGACAATAAGAGAAGTAAAGAGGAGTTGTATATTGTGTACCGGCCGTTGGAGGACACATTTAGAGACTATTACTTATCTTACCTTGCTCGGCAAGATGTACACTAATGGTGCAAAGTTTGAGGAATAGCCACTTGGAGAAGCTGTCTTTAAATATATTACAAAAACAGCTCAGTTACTGTGACGTTGTAATAAGCCGGTCTCTTATGTTAGTAATAAAAGGTAAATTCCCAAGGGATAAACTTATACTAGGTTTTATAATAAGCTGAGCTCCTATAGGTTAGTATAAGAGGGATTCCCAAGGGATAAACCTTATACTAGGTTTATATTAGCGGATAGGCTAAGTTAAACTAATAGGTAATTAATAAGGAATAATAGTAAGATGTTTATATAATTAGTAAATAATACTTTTTAAATATAATTAAGTATTATTTTATATTTATAACTAGCTATTTAAGTATTTTAATAAGTAATATAAAGTAAACTTATATATTTAGTTAACCTAAACTAAATTAATATATAAAATATTAATTTTTTCCTAAATTAATAAATAATTTATTAATTTACTATTGATGTTTTAATCCTTCCTTAATTAATTAAAGAATTAAAATTAATTTAATTTAAGTTAATTTATTAACTTCTTATTATAACCTTAAGAGCTAGGTTATAATATAATATCTCTTTTTTATTAGTTTTATCCTTAAGACTTTACTATATTTAGTATAAGTAAATACTTTTCTTTATTTTTTATTAATATTTTAGTTTTCCCTTTATATATATTTTTATTAATTATTATATTAAGTATTTATAACAAAATTTATTTTAAAATAAAGTATTATAATATTTTTTTAGAAATTATTTTATTTTATTTTATTAAAATAAAAAACTATATATATTATTTTAATAAAAAAAAATAAAACTTCCTAAAGTATTAAATATCTAAGGAAAATTTTACTTATTATACTAAATATATAAAAAATAATAAACTTTTATATAATATATATTTTTTATTATTAGCTTAATTTTAAAGAATTACTTTATTTTATACTTAGTATAAAAATACTTTTAAAAAAGCTAAAAAAAAGTATAAAATAATTAATATAAAAAATTTAGTTAGAAAAAATAACTTATATAATTATATAAGGTATTAATAATTTAAAAGAGTTAAATAAAATTAAGTATAAAGAAGTAAAAGCTACTTATTAAGCTAAAACTTTACTACTTAATTTAATAAATCTTAGGATTTTAAATTTATTTAAGGGTATTATTAATTAGTTTTTTTTTAATATTACTTTAGGGTTTTTAAATTTTAATTTTTTTACCTTAATAAAAAATATTCTCTTATTATTATTTTAAGTAGTTTTATAAGTTATATAAATTCCTTTATTATTTATTTTTATTATATTTATAGTTATTTATAAAGTTTATTTTAAAAAGTTTTTAAAGTAATATTAATATATTTAAAATTACTTTTTAATACCTAGTTATTTATACTTTTATTATACTTTTTTATTTTATTAAGTATTAAAGTTTATTATTTTTTTTATTTTTTTTAGTAATATTATTTTATTAACTTTATATTTAAGTTTTTTACTTTTAATAAATGTTATATTTTTAATAAGTTATTTTATATTTTTATTTATTAATATTTTCTTTTATAGTAAAATATAAAAACTTAAATATATTAGCTTTTTTTATTTATATATTAGTTTATATATATTTTTTTTAATTTAAGTTATATATATAATTCTTAATATAATTCCCTAAGGTTATTTATCTTAAATATAACTTTATATATATATATTAATATATATATATTTATAATATTTTATATATTTATAAGTAATAATTCTTATTAATATAAAATAATAAAAGTTTTATTAATTTTAAAACTAAGTTATTATAAAAAGATTTTATATTTAGTAAATATTTAATCTTAATGCTTTATTAATAACTATTTATTTAAGTTAACTAAAAAGTATAAAAAATTAAACTTTATATATTTAATTATTCCTAGTAGCTTACTCTTAGAATTATAAGCCTAAGTATAAAATTACTATTTAATAAGTAATTTATTTAGGGTAGCTTATAATAAGCTTATTACTTTTATATTAATTAATTCTTTTAGATATAATGTTTTTCTGGGGTATATATATAATATATTCTTTCTTTAGATTAGGCTATAATAATATAATTTTATAAGTATATTTTAATAATTTAATTAATGTATTTCATGTACTTATTTATTTAAGAATAATAAATAATATTAACTTTAAAATTTATTTTTATACTAACTATATTATTTTATTAATATTTAAATATAAATAGTAATTCTTTATTAAAAATAATTTTTATTAGTATTTTATATTTTAAGGCTATATAGTTTTAGATTATATAGCTTAATTCTTTTATAATATTATTTTTTTATATAAAATATAAATACTTTATTTTATTAATTTATTATTAATAATAAAAATATTATTATAAGTCTTTTTAATAATAAAAGTTTAATATTATAATTAAATAAAATAAAGCTTTAAAAATACTTTAGTACTAGTAATAATTATAATTTACTATAAGGTTCTTATTATTTTAATTTTATCTTAATATATAAAATATAATATTAAATAATATTCTTAATAGTTTTTTTTATTTTTTTAAAAGTATAGTATTATTAAACTTATTATAGTATTTTTATAATTCCCTTATATTTATATAATAAATATTTATAAACTAGTTTAATTACTTTTTTTATAGTTTTTTTAATATTTAGATTTTATTTTCTTTATATAATAGCTCTTTAATATAAATTATTTTTTTAGGGAATTACTTTAGTATTTAACTCTTAATAATACTTTTAATTTTATTAAAAATATAGTTTTTATTTTTAATAGTAAAAAAATATATTAATAGTTATTAACTTATAAGACTTTTTTATTATTTCTTAGAATATTAATATAATAAGTTTTAATATTAATTTAAAGTAGTTTTTTTTATAATTAAAAGTATTTACTTAATTATTTTTTAATTATTTATAAAGTATAATTTTAAAATTATATTTAGCTATAAGATTAAAATCTTTTTTATTTTATATATATATTTTTTTTATAATAAAACTTATAAAACTTTTATAATTTAAATATATTATAATTTTATATTTATTACTTAGTAAGTATAATATTTATTTTTTAAATACTTTAAATATAATTATTAATTTTTAGTTATATATAAAATATTATAACTTAATTTTATAAAACTTTTTAAAGAAAAATATTATTAAATATAAAATATTTTTATTACTTTTTAACTAAAAGGTTTTTTAATTATATAATTTAATATATTTATTTTAATAATAATTAGTTTTATTGAATTATATATTTATAATATTAATATAATAGTAATAATTATTTTAAAAGCTTTAAAGGCTTTTAGGGCTTTCCCTTTATAATTAATTAATTAGCTTTTCTTAACTTTATTATTAAGATTTTTCTATATAAAATTTATAAGTAATATAATATTATAATTTAATTTAACAAAGGTATAAAAAAAAGTACTTAAAATAACTTTTAGCTAAATAACTAATTATAAAATAAAGTAATAAAATTTAATACTTTTATAATTAAAGTAACTTATATAAGTACTTTAAATAATCCTAAGAGCAATAAAACATAATAGTCTTTATAAATTAACTAAGTATATAAAATTTTATTAAATATAACTTATTACCTTAGGAACTTACCCTATATTATTAAAGTATTAAGTTAAAATATTATATATAGTAATTTTATAATATTTTTTAATAAACCTTTTATAATAAGTTATTAAACTTAAAAAAAATTATATTTCTTTTACTATTTCTAAGACTTTTTATTTTTTAATAATTATTATTTAAGTAATGTTTATTTTAATTTATTTTAATAAAATAGTATATATTTTAAAAGTTAATTTCTTATATATAAAATTAATATTTCTTTAGTTTTATTAATAAATTTATAGTTTATAATATTTCTAAGACTTAATATATATATTTTATATACCTTTCAAAGGTATTAAAGTAATTTAATATATTATTTAAATATATAATAATAAAATAATTAATATATTTCTTAAGAATTTTATTAATTATTTATTAAAATATAATTAATATATTAGTAAGTTTAAAGAGTATAATTAAATATTTAAGTAGTTTATAATATATTTTAAATTTTTTGATTTTTTTATTTTTTTTCTTAATTTAAATAAAATTATAAGTTTTTTTAAAATTACAAGTTATAAATTATTTTATAATTATTAATTTATTTTTATTTTTAAAAATTAATAGTAATAGTATTTAATTCTTAATAGTAATTTTATTAAGTTATTAATATTTAATTCTTAATTATAGCTTTTTATTTTTCTTTAGTATAAATATTATAAAATATTTTATAAATTATAGGGCAAGCAGTAAAAGGGGAAAAGTATTGCTAATTATATATAAATCAAATTATAAGTGCTACTATATACATAGGTACCCCTATGTTAAGCTTATCTTACTAATCAGCTAAGGGAAAATACTTATAGGCCTCCCTACTTTTGTATATAACTATAAGTTAATTAGCCCAGCTAGCTAGTCTATGAGTAGTTTAATAATACAGATTACAGAGTACTATCAGGCGATTTACATTAAGGCTTAGTAAATAATAATATATAGTCACATATACTATAACCCTTTGAAAAGTTAGTTATAGTCAGTGCCTATATGGAAATTAATGCGCCTACACCATAGTTTCCATGGATCTACGCCTTATCATAGTGCGGAGCTGTAGCAAATTACATAGTCAACATCACAACACCAAGGCTCCGTTGGCTTTTCTTAGCAATCTTGGAGCAACCCAGGCTTCGTCCCCCCTCCCCCGTTGTTCATCTGTAGCCCCAATTGCCCTTTGACATCATCGGATCCTTTATTTCCCAGTAGAATTTAACGACTGGGAGGCTGCTGTCCGCTGCATTTGAGACTGAGTATAAAGACATCCTGTCCCAGTGTACGGAGTATTATAGACTAGACTTTGGTGGGAAGGTGTGGCAATTGCTGCTTATTGGGGGTAAATTCAACTTGTGGCAAGGGCAACAACGATTCAAATGTGGATAACTCTATTCAGGGTTCAGAACACGACTGGGGTTCACACGATGGATCTTGGTGCTGACGAGATAATATAGTGATGAGAGAGTCATCTTCTCCATCCGATGGCCAAAAGTGGGGTTCTTCTCATGTATAAAAGGCCCTGATTCTCCCGTGTTCAGCAAGAAGAAAAGCAGCACATTCCAAAGCAACAATCTTACCTCTCCAACAACTATTACACCTTACTCCAAAATCAACTCTTTGAGACAGACCTCCATTCACAATGAAGTTCACCACCGCCATTGCCCTCGCCATGACTCTCGTCGGCGCCAACGCTACGCCCACTGAGGTTCACGACCGAGCTGCTCAAGCATGCAGCTGCTCTCATAACAACGACGCTGGCCGCTGGGGTACTGACGGTACCCCCGCCACTGCCATCAGCAACCTCTGCCAGCAGGGAGGTGGTTGCGCCACCGGTAACGGAGGTGGCCAACTTTGCATCTCTGGCGATTTCGGACAATGCGGTTGCGCAGTCAACTTTGCCAACCAGCAGCAGAGCCAGCACGGCGATTGGTTCCTCTGGTCTAGTATTACTTGCGGTGGAATGTCCATCACCATGACAGCTTAGACGGCTTGAGAAGCACCGAGCCATCCATGGCAACCAGCCATGGGTAAGCTAAACGATAGCTGCCGGGGGGGAGTATATGCCGAGAGGGGGAGGGGGGATATAGTAGGCATAGTCTAGATGAGACTGCAATAAATTGGAGCTGAAAACCACAAATCTTATAGTCCCTTATGTTTGGGTGAACAGCTTGACCGCCATTGACAAATAGTAAATGGCATGTAAGACCAGTCCGTACTCTGTACAACAAAGCGGATCTCGCATCTCAGTCCCTCGCTCAGCTCCACTTCCAGCGTTGAAATTCATTCCATTTGGGTGATAGTTGCAGGCAACTAGTACAGAGTATTACGGTATAATCAGTAGAAGACAGATCCCTCCAATCGCAAGGTAGCCCACTCAAGTGAAATCAGAGTCCGTCCTTATCATCTTAACTTTCTGAGAATAAGAATTATCCACGCACTGTATATTCTGCTAGGTTACTTGCCATGGGATGGATTAACATCGCAAAGGCAAGATACTTTTGGGAGGTTTTTAAGATGCTGCAATATGGAGGTGGCTTCGCTTGTAGTTTCGTAATGGATAAGGATAGAGATGTAAGTTTGAGGTACTCCGTAGACCAATTACTCTTCCAAGCCCCTATTGAAGGGAGTGGCTCTCTAACAATACACTAGTAAGTAATGGCAGCATATACGTGAGAGGTGGAAAAGGTCATTTATTTGTATCTGGCTATAGTATTTGCACCGGTGTCGCCAGACAGTGATTACCCTTATTCAATATATAACGTCAAACAGTAAATAAGACTGTATATTCTTTGTATATAATTTTTTTTCTTTTACTTAGTTAAAAGTAAAAAATAAAACATTTAGTAAAATCCATTTTATGTAAAAACTTGGGTATAGTAACAAAAGTCTAGAAAAGCCAAAAATAAGAAATAGTAATAAAGGACATAAATAAAAAGTACTACTAGGGTAACAATAAATAATCTAGGCTAAATAATAGTTTTATTAGTATATTTAAGTATATAATAAACTAAGTTCCTAAGTAATTTAGGATTAGCTATTTCCTAACTAAGAGGCTACTAGTAGTTTAGGCCAAATTACTAATTAATATTAGTAAGTTAATATACTACTATTAGCTAAGAGCTAAATAAACCTAAAAATAAAGGGACTAAACTATTATACCTAAATTATTAGTTTCCCCTATATACTATATATATTTATTTATTTATTTATTTTATTATTAATATCTACTAAGTAAGCTAGTTATATAAGTTTTTATTTAAGTACTAGGATAGTAAAAGCTACTAAGTTTAAATTAAGTATTTACTATATTTTAATATAATAAAGAAAATAAAAAAGTATTAATTTATTTTATATATTTACTTCTATAGGGGGGGGGGGCTATATAAGCTTATTTCTTTTATTAGTTTTTAAAAGTCCTTATACCCCCTATTACTAAGGAGGTATTAAATATAAGTAATTTTAAAGTATACTTCTTTATTTAATATATTAAGAAGAAAAAAGGCTATTATATAATACTTTATAAAATACCTTTATATTTTTTGTAATGAACCAGGTCCTATAGGCACTATAGGTTAGCTGTTTCCAAGGGATAAACCTTAGAGTAGTTCTATAGTTTATGTTAGCGAAGCGATCAGGTCAGTAAACAAGCAATCTTATTACCAGCTAGTAATACAAATAAGAGTAAATATCTAAGTTCCAATCTAATTATATTATAAACGCTGTAATAACAACTGGCTATCTAAGTATTTTAATAAGTAACATAAAGTAAACTTATATATTTAGTTATATATTCTAAAGTTAAGTAGAATCGCTTATAATCTTAATCAATTTATTCCTACGTTAATTAGAATCGACGTTAATTCCCATCGACCGCTCCCTAATTAGCTACACGGCCCGACGTTAATCCGGAAGTACCTACCCTATAGGCCCCTTGTCGCAACTATAAAAGCTAGGTCGTAACATAATTCTCCCCCTCCTATTAGTCTTATCCCTAAGACTAGGTAATCTAGCATATAAGTATCTACACCTCCTACTTATAGGTATTTTTCTTATTTTATTACCTATTCGTTGCTAAAATAACTTTCCATATTTAAAAATCTACTAACTTAGCTAATATAAAAGAAAAAAAGAAGAAACTTAACAGGAGTATAGTACTTACTGCTTCTATATTATTGTAATCCATTAAGATAAAACCCTGCTTTTATTATAAAAAAAAGGGATCCTAGTGTTTAACTTCCGAGGTTAACTTAAGTTACTGCTTAAAGTATATTAAGGATTATAAATCTTATTATAAGGCATTTCTTATACCTTAATAATTATTACGTATTTCCTATTGGTGCAACTAGCTTAATAGTAAGGTTAAAGCTATTAAAGAGGAAATTGCAAATCTTATAGCTAAAGTTATTTATTTTTAAAAATAATATAAGGAATAGTTTAAAAAGGTAGTATATACAGTGTCCTAGGGTATTAATAATTTAGTAGAGCTAGAGCAGTTAGAACAGAAGGAGCATAAGGTAGAGGCCGCTCTTTAGGCTGCTATAATGCAGTCGGCAGAGGGTTTTTCCAAAGTTGTCCTCGCTTCTTTAAAATTAGTAGATTATTTAAGGATATTATTAATAGATCCTAAGCTAGTATAATCCCTAGGCTTTAATAGAGTTTTTCCACTAGCGCCATTAAGTTCTTAAGGTACTTAATAAGTTCCTATGTTTTTTCTTTTTCTTCCCCTTTTTCCTATTATACCCTATAGCGTTATTTACTATCTTCTTCTGTTTTTATTATATTAATATCTTTTACCTTATATTCTTCTTCCTCTTCTTCGACAATAATTTCATTCTAAATAAATCTTCTAGTTTCTTTATTAATTTATACTTTTTCTAGTAGGGAGATGTAAAATATTAGGTATATATGTTTTCCTCGTTTTTCCTATTATTCTAAAAGTTCAAGTTTATAGTTTACTTCTCCGATTTTTCTTAAAATTTTATAAGGTCTAAGTTTCTTAAAATTAAGTTTATTACTTAGCCTGTTTATTTTAATATTTACTTACTTATTTCCTCGTATATATCAGTGGAGCTAGACTATATCCCCTTCCTAAAGGGTTAGTCCTCTAATCCTATTTCTATCTACGTATTTAATTATCCTCTGTTAGACGAATTTAAGTTATCGTTATAGTTTATTATATAATTTAATTATATCCTCTACCTTAATTATAGCTTTTTTAATATCTTCCCCTTACCTTAGCAGTCAGTAGGCTTCAGGTTCAAATCTATAGTTTAGGAAGAATAGTAATTTCCTAGTTAATTTAGATTCCGTACTATTATACGTAAGTTATACAACGGGGAGGAGTTTTACCTAGTCGTTTTACTTAAAATTAATATAACAGCGTAAATAGGTCTTAATTATTTAGTTAATCCTTTCCATCTATCTATCTGTCTGTGGGTAGTAGGCTATACTAGCCTTATGATTTATTCTTAGTCTGGCTGTAAGTACTTTCTAGAATTTAAATATAAATATATTTCCTCTATCGGAAATTATATCTCCTAGCAGTCTATAGTTACTTATAATATATTTTATTATTACGTAAGCTAATTCTTTTATATTACTAGCTTCCTTAAATAGTATAAAGTAGGCCATTTTCGTAAGTTTATTAACTACTATAAAGATGCTGTCGTAAAGTACCTTTGTAACTAGTTCTCTTAAAGGAGGTAGTTTAGTAATTAGGTTAAATAAGATTAATTCCTATGGTCATTGTAGTATAGGTAGCGGTTATAGCTGTCCGTAGGGTTTATACTTAAAGCTTTTGGCTCGTCTATATATTATATATTCTAATACAACCCTCTATACCTATTTCTTAATACCTTTAAATTTAAAGTATTATGCAATTTACTGTGTGGTTTTTTTAATTCCGCAGTGTCCGTTGAGCTTATATACGTAGACTGATTTTACTACTTTACTTCGTAAGTCTTCTAATACCTAGATAAGTCTATCTAGTATTAGGTATCCAGTATCTATAGAAACACCTTCTAGGTATTATTTATTTTCCTAGTTCTTTACGTATTCCTTTATGTTATTAATAATTAGGTTGTTTATTTTGATTTAGTATAAGGTATTAATTAATTAAATAACTAGGTCTTTATACTGGTTTTTCTCTAGTATTTATGCCTTAACTTCCGGGATTTCTTAGAAGTAGTCTAGGCACCTGCTAAGTATATTAGTATATTTATTATTTAATCCGCTGTAGTATTTAATAATAAGTTTAAATTTAGAAAGTTACTTATAGTATTTAACTTATTTATAGAATAGTTCTTATATTATTATAAAGTAAGTAATATTCCAATAGTCTATAAGGATTATTACTAGAAATCAGCTTCCTTTACAGTAATATCTTTAATATTACTTACTAAGCGCTTAGTATATAGCTATAAACTCTTTATTATAAATAAAATATCTAAGTTCTAGTTTATATAGTTTCTTAAAGAAGTAGGTAATAGGCCTAAGTCTTTTTTTCTTTATATTATTTAGTTAGCTAAGTACTCCTCTAATTACATAATCTAAGGCGTTAGTTTTAATTATAATAGGTTTATTTAGGTTAAACATTATAAGTACTAGTGCATTTATAAAAGCTTATTTAAGGCATTTAAAGGCTATTAGGGCGTCTCGTGTTAATTCAAATTTAACGTCTTTCTTTATTAAGTCCGTAAGTAATATAGTAATTTTTAAAAAGTCCTTAATAAAGCATCAGTAGTAATTAGTAAGTCCTAAGAAGCTTTATACTTACTTAACGTTTTATAGTAGTTTTTAATTATTAATTACCTTAAGTTTCTTAGGGTTTATTTAAACTTTACCTAGGGTAATAATATATCTTAAAAATGTAACCTTCTGCATATAGAAGTTATATTTCTCAGGTTCTACTAGGAGTTTATTATCTTAGAGTATTTATAATACCTTCTTAACGTATTCCTTATGTTTTTCTAAGTTTTTAAAATAAATAAGAATATCGTTAAGGTATATAATAATAAAATAATCTATGTAATTTTATAATATATAGTTAATTATTTTCTAAAATATTACTGGGGCGTTTGTAAGTCTAAAAGGTATTACCTAATATTTATAAAGTCCGTATTTTATGCAGAAAGC